TCCTTAGTTAGGGTGGCTCGGAGGTTCGCGTGCAGAGAGAGGGCTGTGCCAAGAGCTTCCTGAACATCGTGCTCGAGTTTTTATTATTATTCATATTTACGTTTCTAATGTCTGACGGTCACATTTGTACTTTTGTGTGCGAGTTGCTTTCTGCAGCAATTCGTACGTAACATATATGTATAGTGTAATTATACACTGTATCACAGATTAGTGGGGCGGGGGGGAGGCAAGGTAATTTGCCAGAATCTTTGGTAAACAGGGTAAAGATCCAGGTAGAAAACACTTGGGAGAAAAATCCCTCCCCACCCCCATCGGCCACACAAGTTATATCTTGCTCAGCTCTACAAAGTAAATCCAGAGATTCATTCTCCCTATCTGCTGTCCTACCACAAAGATCAAATCTCCTGAAGCCCCCCCTCCTCCCTGCCCGATCTAAGTGCGCACTGATTTTTGTGGCCGCTACGGCATCCTAGGTGAGATTTTGGTCGGCTGTTTAACAACTTGGGAGTTATACTAATGGGGTTTTCCCCTTTTTTTCTGGCAACAAAACTGACACCTTTGTAAGAAATCATGTTTACATTAACCACAATACTTGCAGTCAAATGCAAACAAAAAACAATACTCTGGTAATTTATGCATTGTCTTTGAAACTGATTGGTCCACACCATAGACAGCTTTCTTCGGAGCCTCGTCTCATATGGTGTTCGACCAGATGACGCCAAAGTGATATTCATGTTTATATTTGGGAGTTGCGACTCCGGCGCGTACACAAAGACATTGAGGCAGTAGAATGGTATGGACCGTGCTTGCCTAACGTATTCACTAAAACCACAGATCGGGGTTTGCGGAGTCAAAAAATATAATTTCTGAAGTCAATACGGGTTAGATGAACGTACAGCGTGCAGCTATTTTTTAGGTTTTTTTTAGGCATTTAGGACAGACACTGCAGGTTCTGAAGAAGATGCGAGCTATCCTCAGATGAGGCTATTAGCTTTAATGAGAAACGTGGCTCCTGCAGTCTGATCACGAGTACCCGGTTTGGAAGATTGAGGTGGGTAGTGGACTTTGTATACTTGGGCAGTAATGTCCATATTGCCAGGAGGCTTTGAGAAGGAGTTTGCAGAAGGTATATTTGTTTAGCGGGGCTTGTGTTAGATGCACTATGGAAACTAGATGCGATGGGTAGGCCAGGTGTGTAATGCACAGGGCAGTTGATGAGGCGGGAGTGATATCCATGTTTATAGATTTTAAACTTAAGCAGTTTGATAATACAAATGTCTTTGCATTTAAGGACAGGTGTCTTGAGGCGGATGCTGAGAATATCTTCGCAGGACAGGAGGAGCCATGCAGACGTGATTGTTGTGGTTATAGGATGGGGGGGCGAAAAACCGGTTGCGCTGGGTTGGACGTGTGATGGGACGGGGTGCTCAAATCAGGTGGCAGCCAGCCCCGAGCCCAGCGAGTAGGATCACAATTCCCGGTAAGAAAACAGTGGGTTGAGGTTGTAGTGGACCTTGTGCAATTAATTTGTAAAATTCGGCAGTAAGCAGCGGGGGGGGGGGATGGGGGGGGTGTGCTGCTTTGAGATGGATTTCAAGAAGGTGCATTGTTTTAGCAACACTAGGGTGTTGACGGGCGGCTACGGAAGCCACTTTGCAAGAGAAGAGGGAGAAAGTATTTAAGTGCGAGCAAGAAAAAGGGACATTTTTAGGTGGGAAGAGCCAGCCGCTCATCGTTCGGGAGATTCTCCAGAACCTTGCAAGGGTGGGGGGGGCAGGAGCTCCGATCAGGTGGCCGGGGCCCAGCTCCTCTCGCAGCGCGCGTCGTCACGTCTCCCGCGCACAACGTTGGCTCAGTATGCATCCCGCGGCGCTGTAATGTGCACCGTCTAGACCGGGCTTTTGTCCGATTGTGTTGCTGCGCGCTCGTGATTCTTGTGACGCAAGCGGCGAGTGAATTGAATCTCCTTGAGTTTACTGGCTGTCCCCCCGGACATCAGATGGGTGCCCGCGGGTGGGGGTGTCGGCGTGGGGGTGGGGAGAACTTGGCATCTACTTAAATTTCTTTGTAAAGTTAGCTTTTTGGAAGAGTGTTTAGTTAATTCGTGTCTTGTTTATTACTTGCGCTTTTGGGGTGGATGTGGGGAAGGGTGGTGGGGATGTCGGAGCAAATGTACTTTCCATTTCATTGCAATGATTAAAACATGAGAAGAATGCCATTCTCTGGATTATAACACGAACCCCCAGCTAATGCTTTGAAAATACGGAGGAACGAAAAATGTGCCTTGTAATCCGGTGATGCAGAATCGGCTTTACACAATCACCCTGGCCTACCAACGCTTAGCCGTGGTGTTTTTGAGGTCCGGATTTAGTTGCCGGAGGTGTCTCGTGACCCAGGTTGGTGTGGTGCCTTCATTGACTAATGACCGAGCCGAGAGATGTTTAGACTCTGCACCATTGCAGAGAGAGAAAGCCCCCTGTGATTGTGGTGGTGATGGTCCGTGTGAGGCTGCTGAGTTTGGCGGATTACGGTGGGAGTGTGGTGGTTGACAGTCGGACTGAACTCGCTGTGTGCGCCACCATGCTCCCATTGCTTCTGCCAGCTGTGCTGCCATTTAATTTCATTCGCCTTGCCTCTCCGCTGGTATTACTTGCGTGATGAGATGTAACTACCTCGCCTGGTATGCAGGAGGTCATGGATTCCGACCCTGATGCCTGTATATTTGGAGTTTGCATGTTCTCCCCGTGCTCATATGGATTTTTCTCCGGGGAGTCCGGTTTTTCCCTCCACATTTAGAAACATGCGTTTAGACTTTGGCTGCTATACATTTCCACGTGATAAGCCACTTTGTTGAGCTGTCATATGCGACCAGGTCGCTTCCGAAAAAGAGCTACATAGCTCAGTGGGGCCTTATCTGGCCAACAGTTTTTTAGTATATATGTTTTTTTAGTTTGCGTTGTGAAACACGACACAGTAACTGTACTCCATAAATACCACTGCTGGATAAAGGCCTCTCGTGCTCCTTCGATGTAATCATCCACCCAGCACCTGCAGATGAGCTGATTTCATCGCTCCATCTCCTCGGTGAATGCCCCCTCGGCCCGTTCCGCTGTGTCAGTCACAGAGGTTGTTGGATTATACTTCGCCACACTGGCGACGTATAATTCGTGTTTTCTGGCCCGGGCCGCACATCTGCAACGTGTGTGTGCGTGTCTGTGGTGTGTTTTTGTAGGCAGCTGCAAGGAGCAAGGCCGTCAATGGCTCGAGGAAGTCACGACCTCCGGACCCCGCGGGGCAGTCCAGCGATGGCGCCCGTGACGCAGAAGATTCCACGCCGCCAGCCGCCACCACCGCCGCAAAACCCGGCCAGGAGCCGCCGCTCGCCGCCCCCTCTCGCTCGCCATCCCCGACGGCGCACCCTCCTCCCAACGGCCTGGCGCACGAGAACGACACTCAGGACGACTTTCAGGACGATTCCTCTCAGGGCAAGGAGGTGGTGGTGGAGAACGGGCAGCCCGCAGAGCCGGAGCAGAATTGCCATGGCATGAAGCGGCACATAAACGGTTCGTGCCCGCAGGCGATACCGCCGAACAAAAAGCCACGGTTGGAGGACGTGGAGCTGGACCTGCTGAGGTTGGCCGACAGCCTCGCGCTGGCGGCGGAAGGCGGCGAGGCCGCCGCTGTCAACGGCGGAACGGGCGAGTACCCGCCCAGCCCGGATGACGGTGCCAAGCGGGCTCCCAGCCCCATCGTCACGAACCCCCTGCTCTTCCTGTCGGAAGCAGCCTCGGCCCAGCAGGGATACTGCAAAGCCACCGCGTGCTCGGAGAGGAAGCCCGAAAACTGCGACTGCAAAGGCCCGGACTGCCCCGACTTAACGGCGGCCGCCGAGAGCGGGAACGACTGCGAGCGGTCTCCCGAGGCTGGCGGCAGCTGCGCCACTCCGGAGCCGAGCGGAGCCGCGCCGGGCCCCTCGGCCCAGGCTTCGCTCGGCAACGGCGGCGTCGGAAACTCCGCGGCGGCGTCCGGCGGCAGCGTGCCAGCGGAGAGGTGCAGCTCTCCCGCCTTGGCGCTCGCCGGCGGTAAAAACAAAAAAGGGGCAAACGCTCACCTCTCGGGTTTCTTTCAGAGCTTCCTCGACTTTGCCCTGCAGCAGCAGATGAGCCCCGAGCAGGCGACGGCGGTGAAGGCGCTCGCCGAGTTGTCCAACGGCACGGGAGCCCAGTTGGCCGGCGCCGCGCCCAAGCAGTCGGCAGGCAAGGGCCGAGCGGGCAAGGCGGCGAAGGCGGCGAAGGCAGTGGCGGCGGCGGCAGCGGCGGCGGCGGCAGCGGCGGCAGCAGCGGCGGCGGCAGCGTCTCCTTCGCAAGCGAGCAACGGCGTTGGCACGTCCAGGCAGACGCTGGCGGAGCTGTGGCCCGGGCCTCTGCAGCAGAATCAAGAGGCGGCAGCGGCGGCGGCAAAGCACAAGCAGCATCTGCAGGCCCAGGCTTCTGCACAGTACTCGCAGAAAGCGGCGCAGCACGGCGCGGCTGCGCAAAATCACCAGCAGCAGTCCCAAGCGCTGGCGCCAATGCAGGGGCAACCGCCGCAGGGGCAGTCGCTCCTACAACAGAAAATTCTAAACGATGCGCACATCGCACCCCTGCTCGTGCAACCGAATCACAGCTTGATGAACCACCAGCAAGAGCTGCACTCGCAACTTCACAGCCAACATCTTGCTCAAGAGCAGCAGCTTACACAGCACCAGCAGCAGGCGCAGCAGCATCAGCAGTTCTTGCAGAGCCATGAGCTGGCACAGCAGTATTCGCATCATCAACACAATCAACTGCTTCTGCAGCAGCAGCTGCTTCAGGATGCCCAATCGCAGCAGTGCAAGTGGCAGCAGAGCGCAGCATTGGATGCGCAGTCACAAGGCCACACAAACGCCCACGGCCAGGTCTCCGACGGAGCCGCCTCCGTTGCCAAAGAAGACGACACCCCCGTGCCCCGTAATACCTGCACCAGCCGGCGGTCGCTTCCTATCACGGGCAGCCGCTGTCGATGGGAGCGGAGGGAGACTCGGAGCAGAGCAGCCGCCCCTACTCAGAGCTGTCCGAAGAGGTGCTGCGAGGTGATGCCTCGAAACAAAGGTGCTCAGAGCAAGCGACCACCAGCAACCAGAGCAGCACCCTCGGTCATTATGAATCACGTGGCGTCCGTGTGCTTCGACGCCGACAAAGGTAAAAGCCATCGTACGTTTATGGGACTCGACGCCGAACGATCAGGGACTCTCCAAGGTGCTATTACAAGCCGACGCAACTCGAGCGACCCAGCGGAGGAGCACGGGCTCCTGCAGTCGCACCTGCTGCCTCAGGGAGGCCAGCACGTGATGCACGCCCGCCCGCAGCACGGCGAGCGCGACGCGAAGAACTCGGCGGCGCAGGCGGCGAGCGAGCGCTACGGGCAGCACTGCGAAGGTTCGCAAGATCCCCAGGGCAGCCTGTCCCTGCTTGCGCACGCTTCCGACGTGCAGGCCGCCCGGCAATACTACGGCAGCAAGAAGCAGATGCATTTCCAACAGCCGATGCCGCAGCAGATGCAGCCGTACAAACACTCCGAGGTGGAACAGAAGTCGCTGGAGAGGCTTCTGCAGCAGCACATGCAGAGCGGGGATGAAGGGCTGTTCCAGAAAGTGCTCGGGAGCGAGCAGCAGCAGCAGCGTCTGCAACAGATGCAGTCGAAGGAGCACCCCGCGCAGGGACACAGGGACAAGGCAGCACTCAAGGGGCAACATAATTCAAGTTACAAAAGCGGCCTGTCTCGCAGCAACAGCATTGGTTTTCAACAAACATCTGGGCCGGGAGAGCAGCAGGACAAACGAGGCTCGTCCATGAAAACATCCCAGCCGGACAACGGAGTGATTTGCTTCTCCAGTCGAGGTGCGAGTGGCCACGACTTGGGGCACAGAGTGATTCGCAGTGGTTCGCCGATGTCGAGCCGAAAAGAGCAGCAGTCCTCCGTGCACGACCCGAACAACGACGACCTGAAGGAGATCATCCGGCAGCTCGAGATAAAGATCGCCGAGGACCCGAGTCGTCGGATCATTTGTCGCAGCGGCAGCACCACCAGCAGCAGCAACGGATGGACGTCTCCCACCCGCAGTCGTCTCGCCCGGGCTCTGTCCGCGCATCCGCCGATCTCCCGGCTAACCAGACGCCAACGCCGCACAACATGCGTTTGAAAACCGAACCCACGCCAGCCGAAATGTGCCACCGAGCGAGCAACGATTTGGGGACGCACGGTTCGACGCGCGCTTCCTTTTCGTCCCCGTCGCCATCTTCGCTGCCGCCGTCGTCGTCGTCCGTGCCGTCATCCTCGACCGTGAAAGCTCACCTGGCGGCCTACCTGCAGAGGCAAAGCCTCCAGGTGAAAGTGGAGAGCTCGGGGCCCATCACGGTGCTGTCCACCCTGGCCGCGTCCGTGGGGATGGACGGGGAGGAGGACAAGGGGGCCACGCTGTCGGGAAACTCGACCCCTGCCAAGCAGCCGCCGTCCATCCTCAGCAGCTTCCTGGAGTCCCCGCTCAAGTACCTGGACACGCCGACCAAGAATATCCTCGACACGCCCACTAAGAAGGGCCAGGTGGACTTTCCTCCGTGCAGCTGCGTGGGTGAGTACGGGACGCCGTGGGAGAAACGGAGTAAAGCGTGCGTTCGCGCGGCGGCGGGCACCTGCCAGCAGCAGCGTCTCTTTCCGTGTCAGTGTCACCGTCCACAGGAGGAGTCGGCGTCGTGGATAGTATACGTGTGGGCGCCGCGGTGGGGAGATGTTAACTACCTCGCCTGGTATACAGGAAGTCGTGGGTTCGATCCCAACGCCTGCTGTATATTTGGAGTTTTTATGTTCTTTCCGTGGTCGCTTGGAGTTTTCTCCAGGTCCTCCGCGTCTTTTCCCTAAACATTTAGAAACATACTTTCAGAGTAATTTGGCTACCGCTGTACATTTTCACTTAATACGCCACTTCGTTGAGGCATCGTTTGCGGCCAGGTCGCTTACGAAAAAGAGCTACACAGCTCAGTGGGGCCTTTACCTGGTAAAATAAAAACAATTGTTTGGCGTACTCCCCACAGGGCCACGAAGGGCAGGCGCCACATCTTATGAAAGTGTAGACTGGCGAGGGGCCCGTAAGGCCACAGCGGCACAGGAGGATCCCGCGAGGATAGGGCAGGGTGGCAGCGGGGGGCCGGACCCGTGTGAGCAGTTGGGGCCTGTCTCGTGTAGGCGGTCGGCCGTTACTGACGCGCCGCGTCTCTCTCTGGCGCTGCCGCCGCTGCGAGCGAACGGCTCCAAGTGGGTCACTCGGTCGACGCCGCCCAAACGGGGCGCCGCGCCACGGAGAGTTGGGCGCTTGACAAGGCCCAGCCTCTCTCTGTGTGCGTGCGCGCGAGTATGCACAACGTGTTCGCACGCGTGCCGCGTGTGCGCGCGCATACAAAGACAAAGATCCCCGTATAGCCTTAACGGACTGTAGGGGCAAGTGCTGTTAGCGAGCACCTATGAAGGCCGGAACGGTACACGAGGGGGTGGGTGGCCAGCACCACGCCCGACCGCCTTTGTCTCTCTAGTGGCGATGTTTACACACCGCACCAGGTACTCATTTCAGGCTGAGTCGACCTAGGGGAGGCCCAGGACCGGTTCAGATAATCGTCACCGGTGTTGGCCGTGAGCGGGAATCGAACCCGGGTCGCCAGGTTCATAGCACAGCGCGCTAACCGCTGCACCACCGCTCCCCAGCACTACGCCTGGCCACCTTTGTCTCCCCAATGGCGATGTTTACACACAGCACCACGTTCTGATTTGAGGCCGAGTCGACCTAGAGAAGGCCCAGGACCGATTCAGATAATCGGGGTGTTTGCCGTGAGCGGAAATCCAACTCGGGTCGCCGGGTTCGTAGCGTTGCGTGCTAACCGCTCCACCACCTCTCCCCACAAACGCACATACCCCCCCCGCACACGCACCTATGTGTTCACATGCACAAACACACACTATCACGTGCTGAATTCTCGAGCTTTGCAACTGAAACCATGTGTCCCTTTTAGCTACCACGTGCATTCATAAATCGTGGCGTGCAATGACGATGGCAGATAATAGCTGGACCCCCGAATACCTCTTTTCCACTGGCACATCCGAGCCGAGCCATGACCAAACCCCATGGCATTCTGTCAATAAGACATCTGAATCTGGCCCGGAGCCAAGCAGGTCCAGAGGTGGGGGGGTTAACGATGGATTGTGTGTTACGTCAAATGGCCTCACCATGTCACCGAAACACTGCATGTGACATTTACAAATTATGCTCTCGGAGCACAAAGTCAAAGATCTCCAGTATAGCCTTCACGGACTGTTGGGGCAAGTGCTGTCAGCGAGAACCGATGAAGGTGAGCACGGGGCACACACCCATATGCTTGGCGTAGATTTGAAGCTGTGGCACTAAAGGCAGTTATTGCCACATAGTGCCCTCTGTCGACAAAACATGAACACAGCAGACATGCACAGCAGAGACACACAGCACAGATCCAGTAGGGCTTGAACAGAAGCAGGAGCACGCAGACACAGAAATTGATCAACGTTCCTGAAAAGTAACAGAAAAAGGCCTGGAAATGTTACAAGCCCTGCTGATCCGTAGCTAATTTCCTTCCTGCCACCCGTGTTAAACGACCTGTCACCAATTAAACTGGTGCCAATCAGCAAATCTTTCACGGTGCCGTTGGCGTTTGCAGGTGCTTTTAAATCAGCCGGAGCATATCCATTATTCAAGAAGCCACCTCTGGCATCAAGCTGTGTTAATGACTACGGCCTGATTTCTCATCTGTCATTTACGTCCAAAGGTGTGGCTGCTGGCTTATCTTCAAAGCTAAAATCTAAAACACTTCAGTCTGGTTATAGCCACAGCACCACCTTCCACAGGCCGCTCTGATTAACATGAACAGTGTTATACTTGTGAATATGGACAAGTAGGTCATGTGCCAGAGTAGAGATTAAGTACCACATAAGGTGTATAAGTTAATTGTGGCGTTCACATAATTCACTTTGGCCACATCAATCACTTTATGCCACCTCAGGTATTACCGACAGGTGAAATATCTGGTCTGGACTCATGGCCTACGAGAGACCATTTGCCATACAGTCCATTTTAGGTAGTTTCTGCAGCCTTTCACATCATTGCATTGCCTTTCCCGTCATTGGAGCATCTGGGGGGCCCATAAATGGATGCCATTGCATGTTTCTTATGTATCCCGTTGGGTCTTGTGAAGAATTCAGAATTTTATCGAGCTCGCGTATGCAGTGCGCATGGCTTTCCACAAGGGCTCCATGTCAGGCCCCGTTGTGCTCTTTGCGATCTGGGCAGTTGTCTGCGCGACAGTTGCTGACGCGAGGAACGCCATCCCACACCGGGCTGTGTTCGCCCCATCCTGCATTGGATTGGATGGATGCATTTAGGCATTGATGCTCATCGCCCAATAACAGCCCAGAGCCATCGGTGGAAATTCCACAATTCTGTGTTCTGGATGAGTCTCTCCAGAGGGATCAACCACTGTTGAATTCTCCACAAAGTGGTTTCTTATTTTATCGACCCCCTGGAGAGGTGATGGACTGAGTCGACCCCCGACCAGGATTTAACTTGCGACCTTCAGATTGCAAGCCGCTCGCTCTGCGGCTGAGCCACCTGGCCAGTTCATGGAACTAACCCCGTACGATCCTTCTCGGACACCGTGATCAGCGAACTCCCGTCTGCGGGCGGTGCAACCAAACCCATCCGTCTGGTGCCACCGATGGAGCTGTCGTAAATTATCTCAACTTTCGTGACACAGACACCCATTACAAGTTTGGCCCTGTGCTTCACTGCCTGGTGTTAACTCGGTCCCCCACATGTTTACATTGGGTCAAGAACATGTGGGCAGTCGGCCCGGGGCAGTGGGTGGGGGTAGTGGAGGGGGTGGGGTGTCAGTGATGGTGAAATGATGGGAGGGTTGAAACTGCCTTTCAAGTGTTTCGGTCAAAGGTCATCAATACTCCCGGCAAATGTGGGTGTGGGAATATGTATGAGACTGGAAGCATGGCTCGGTTTAATTGTTTATATACATAACGTCGTCGTTCATGCAAATTCCATCTTATAATGAAATGGAGCCACAGATAAACGGAAGGTAACAATTGCCCAAGCACTGCAATCCCCTATATATTAAGGTGTTTTCAGCCACCTAATGAGTGTTTAAACATTTAATTTCAAGGGGTACGCAATGAGCATGCTTTAAGAAAAAGGAGGGGGGGGGGGTGAGGGGTGTTGTATATGGTTGAAATCTGTGTGGCGAATATCTGAGCGCGGTGTGACGACGATGCGCGATGTTTCAGATCAAATCATCGAGAAGGACGAAGGGCCCTACTACACGCACCTGGGAGCCGGCCCAACGGTGGCAGCCGTACGCCACCTCATGGAGACGAGGTCAGTGCCACAAAGCCTCACGCGGTGTTTGTACGGGCCCACCAATTACCGCCCCCACCCCCCCTTTTTCCACCGCGCGTCAGAGCCGTGCGGGGGGGTCGCGCTCGATGATCCCGTGGAATTTGGGATGTTTTGACCCCACACCAGTTACATTGCACGGGGTTTTTTTTAGCTATGGGAGGAACACGGAGAAATCTCACGCAGAACGGGCAGAAGAACGTACCAACTACACGCAGAGACTGTGCCCCCGTCGGGGATCGATCCCAGATCCACTGCGCCCACTCTATATTTTTCCTTTTCAAGACCGCGGTGCTATATATGTAGATAAATGTGAAGTTATTTTTTCGTTAATTGTGCTTTTGTACACGCACGGCTGTCGCGACAGCAGTAGGATTTCCAAATAACGGTGTAAAATATCGAGGTGGATTGATTGAGTTGCCGTTTTGAACCACATTGGTGGCCAGGTTACCGTCTAATGCACTTCTGTTTGGGGAACGTGGCCGGCTCTCTCTGCAGGTTCGGTGAGAAGGGCAAAGCCGTGCGGATCGAGAAGGTGGTGTACACTGGGAAGGAAGGCAAAAGCTCCCAGGGCTGCCCCATCGCCAAGTGGGTGAGTGAACTATGAAACTATTTATAAACTACATATTATTTTCATTTTACCAGATAATGCCCACTGAGCTATGTAGCTCCTTTATCAGAAGCGACCTGACCGCAAATGATATATCAACGAAAGTGGCTTATCTCCTGGAAATTCATAGCATCCAAATACTCTGATCGGATATTTCTAAATGTGGAGAGAACAACCGGGAGGACCCGGAGAAAAATCCACGCGACCACGGGGAAACATGCAAACTCCAAATGTACAAGCGTCATGGTTGGGATTCAACCCACGACCTCATGTATGCCGTGCGAGATAGATAACATCTCGCCACTGGCGGTGTGGACGGGAGAAGATGTGGCCGTCGTCGTCCTATTCGCACACACGAACCTCTTCCGGCAGCTTCTTGCGTGGAATTGCGCCGCAGAGTTTTTTCATTGCGAGCAAAAACGTCTTAAGGATGGCCCCACTGCGCCCCCTAGGGTGCATTTTGTTTAAGGGTTTGATTTGGCAATTGAATTGATTTGCCAATCGAAGAGTGAGAGCCATATGCGCGATGTGTTGCTTAAGTTTGAAGTGTATTTTGTTTAACTAAGATGATAATCTTTAGTAGTTAAAAAAACGTTGAAAAATGTTGTTTGCATGAAGTGTCATCGGTAAAACAATGATACCAGTGCAAATGTTTTTTTAAAGCTTAACAATTTAAGCCAAAGCGTCGTCGCATAGCCAGCAATATTAACAGGGGGGAGACGTGGACATGACATAATTAAAATGACCTCACTTCGTATCGCGTTGTATTTTAAAATCAATCCAGAACAAACCGTTTTGGATCATCAACCAATTTGTCTGTATTCGTGAGTGCCATCCCATCGCTGGCCTGCCAAGTCCTGCGCCTAGTGTGGCAGGTATGTATATTAGCAAGCGTCGGTGCTCTGCAAAGGGGCCTGTGTAAGTGAGCGGTGGCTGTGGCGCGGGGTGGGGGCCTGGCAGGTCCTGCGGCGTGCCAGCGAAGAGGAGAAGCTGCTGTGCATCGTGCGCGAGCGTGCCGGTCACCGGTGCGAGAATGCCGTCATCGTCATGGCCATCATGGCGTGGGAGGGCGTCAACCGGGGCTCGCCGACCTCCTCTACAACGAGCTCGCCTCGACGCTCAACAACTACGGCGTGCCCACCTGCCGGCGATGCAGCCTCAACGAAGAGTGAGACCGATCGTCACGCAATGCGCGTTGCTTAAAAGTTCCCCGAGTTTTTAATGATTTTGTTTTACCCCAGGTGAGAACTCGAAGAGAGAGAGAGAGGGAACAGGAGGTGTAGAAGGCTCATTTGCAAAGAGCGTTGACCTGGTAGCAATTCGATAACCATCTATTAATTGCTTTTTCGATTTGCTCGGCTGCATCAGATGGTGGGAGGATCTTGCAACAGAAATGTGACCAGATTATGACGTGGCCTAATCCAACATTTTTTTTACGAATCATACTACGACGGTGATTAAATAAACAAACGTTTGACAAAATTGACGCTGCTGGGCACCAAACTGACTGAGTCTCGTTGTGCGCGTGTGCGCGTGTGTGCGTGCGCGTATGCGCACGTGTGTGTGCGCGCGTGTGTGTGTGCGCGCGTGTGCGCACGTGTGTGTGTGCGTGCGTTTGTGTGGACTCGTCGCGTCTGCCCCTCCTCCGCGTGGCCCGCCCGTAGCCGAACCTGCGCCTGCCAGGGCCTGGACACCGAGACTTGCGGAGCCTCCTTCTCGTTCGGCTGCTCCTGGAGCATGTACTACAACGGCTGCAAGTTTGCGCGCAGCAAGTACCCGCGCAAGTTCAAGCTGAACGGAGATGACAGCTCCAAGGAGGTGCGCACGCCAACGGCTGTCGTCCCCCTCCCTACCTTCTACCCAGAGGTCGCAAACGGGTTTTGATTCCTTACCCGTACCCGGCCGCACCAGGGTCGCAAACGGGTACCCGTACCCGGCCGTACCCGGGTAAGGTACGGGTATCGGGTACCTGATTGCGACCTCTGGGATGAAGCCATGTTGCAGGCGTGGGTGGGTTGATTCTAGGAACTTGAATTGTGAGAAGAGACAAGACGTTGGGAAATGAGTGACAATAGTTACTCACTAGTGACTCACGGCCTACCCATACCCGGCCGCACCAGGGTCGCAAGCGGCTACCCGTACCCGTACCCGGCCGGGTACGGGTAGACGGGTATCGGGTATGGTACGGGTATCGGGTACCCGGTTGCGACCTCTGAGGCGCGGTGATGTGACCCAGCCCGTGGCGCGTTCGCCGCTTGTGGCGGCGGTTCGCGGTTTGAATCCAGCGGCTGCCCTGATTCTAACGCTGCGGGTGCATGAACCG